GGGGGGGGGGGGGGGGGGGGGGGGTGTTCCGCAATGCCGTTGATATCGCGTATTGTATATTTCAGCACGCCATCGCTTTTAACACTCCAAAAACGTGGATAAACTGGGTCTAACCCCCATAAAGTACTCATTTCCACACCTTTATGCGCATTGTGCACATTTGGCTAGAACTATATTTTATAGACCAACTGGCAGTCTATGGGGGAGGTGGTCAGCATCATGCTGGCTGCCTTTACTTCCAAGGAATGTACCTTGTACCCATTCAACATCAACATATGTGTGTGCCACACAAAATGTAACACTTAAAAACTGGTCTGCCATATTTGCTCAAACATTGAATTGCACTTGCCCTGGCAGAGACAGAGGAGATACTTTTTCAATTTTTCGTTATTTGAAGCCTCACCCTGGCTTTCGCCGGGAGCCCTGAAAATAGCCGGGTCATAAATATACCCTATGGTTGAAAGGGGTTTCTGGGACCTCTCCACGGTTGATCCTCGTCCGCATGGTGGCACTTTGTGTCACTGGGTGTCTATCGCTTTGTGTGATGTCCTAGTGGGGTATAACTTAAAATAGAATAGCAAACACTTCTCAGCCTTCCAGGCTGAATGAATGAGTCGAGAACTGACATCATTGTACTTGAGTTGTTGCTGCATAAGAGCTTTGTCTTCTTGCTCAGTGGCCAATGAATAGTTACCATGCTAACAGTGCCAGTTGCAACCTTAGTTTTCCACTCAACACTGAATGTTGCCCAAGTTTTCCACTCAGTGCTGAATGTTGCCCAAGTTTTCCACTCAGTGCTGAATGTTGCCCAGAATCCCCAGTATGCATACAGATAAGCCAGATCTTACAGATGTGATGCATAACAAGTTTTGAAACAAGATCAAAGTCCAAAAGTGGATGAACAATCAGAAACTTCCACCAAAGTTTAGAGACTGTGAATAATAAAAAGAAGTAGATAAATCAATGAAGAACACAATCCACATCAAATAGTTTAGAGATAATAATTAAGTAAATACAAATTAATCCAAACATCACATGGCAAATGATGATGATTCATTCTGTGATTTCAATGTAAATATAAAATACATGCATTATAAAAGATTCTACCTCTTCAATTGAAACAGATCAAACACCTGTTTTAAAATATTCTCTGACTTCAATTTACATAGACCAAACGTGTGTTTTAAAATATTCTACGACTTTAATGTAAACAGATTAAACACATTTTGAAATATTTGATGACTTCAATATAAACAGATTAAATACACATGCCTTAATTATTTTATGACATTTACAGATCGTCTGTTTCATTATTTGTTGTAGAAAAGATAGGAAGATAGAACAATATTCAAAACAATAACATCATCTCTATTTTGAATAACAGATCTCTGCTTTATTTGTTGTGAAGTAAAGGTAGGCTGGGTAGAAGAACCATTCATTAATACTGGCTAAAATACATTTTGTTTTCTTCTGTGTTGACATACTAAGCATTCAGTCCTGTCTAGGTCATAAACAGGACAGTGTATCTAAGGTCATTGCCAGTCCCCTACAGCTTCTCTTGCAAAGTAGCTCCCTTGGGCCTGAGGACCAACCTCAGCCAGGAGCTAGGTAATCTACTGATCATACTCATCGCACATAGGGCAATCCATAAGCGCTCAGATCCCATCTGCAGTATCTCTCTCAGCATGTAACAATTGAAAACACCAGTTCTGTATTGGTTTCATACTTTTCTTAAGCTACCTGTATTCTAGTGTTTATGTCAGGCAACAGCTCTTTTGACATGAAGTTCTTGTAGTCTTGTAAATGTTGCCAATTCATTATCGGCTCCCGAACCACCAACTCAACCTGCCCACTTGAGAGCATTATGCCTGGCAACAGTTCTTTTGACATAAAGTTCTTGTAAATGTTGCCAATTCATTATCGGCTCCCGGATCACCTACTCAACCTGTCCACTTGAGAGTATTATGCCTTGCAACAGTTCTTTTGACATAAAGTTCTTGTAAATGTTGCCAATTCATTATCAGCTCCCGAATCACCTACTCAACCTGTCCACTTGAGAGCATTATGCCTGGCAACAGTTCTTTTGACATGAAGTTCTTGTAAATGTTGCCAATTCATTATCGGCTCCCAAATCACCTACTCAAACTGTCCACTTGAGAGCATTATGCCTGGCAACAGTTCTTTTGACATGAAATTCTTGTAAATGTTGCCTATTCATTATAGGCTCCCGAATCATCTACTCAACCTGTCCACTTGAGAGTATTGAGAATATCAGTCCAGTCCATTGCCTTTCCTGAACCTACTGTAGCTCTGTCAGCAAGCCAATCAACTCGTTTATTTACCTTTACCACAGAGCGTCCTGGCACAAACCTTCTTCATTTGTTCGCCTGAAATAAGTTGTCTATTTCAGCAATTTTGTCTCTGTTGTAAATTTCACTGTCGTTTTTAGTTCGTTCAGTGGTCCACAGAGTTTACACGCCACTGTTGTTCTTTCTGGCCAAAAGGTTTGCCTTGATGTATCAAATTCTCTGCAGTCCTGAAGTACATGTTCTGCTGTCTGGGGCACCTTTGAGGGCTGTCCTGAGACTGAAAATGTAGGGCCTCATGGCTTGTGCAGTTGCCACAGATTGTGTGTTTAATATTTTGTTTTTGCCCCCAACAGAAAACAAAATACCACCTCAATGAGAATTTCAACCAGGGTCTCCTGAATGGGTGCCCAGTGTTCTTAACTGCTAAGCCGGTCATGCCAAAAATAATGGAGAGAGTGTGTGCATATTTGGGTGCGTGTGAGTGCATACCTGCATGCATTTTGTGTGTGTGGTGTGGGGGCTTTGCACTGCACTTGAGGACTCCCAAATGTGCTACAGTGACCTTCTGACCACTTGTAAACATTGAAGTGGATGAGACAGAAAAAAGACTCTTATGTATATATTTTAATTAATGGACACTGGATGGACATCAAAGACATGATTACAGTATGAAAATGACACAGAAAACATTTCAGATGCAAATATCACATGCATACTTATTCCATCCTCTATCCCCCAACGGAGCATAGATAGACCCTCAACCAACTCCCACCAAGTCATCCAATCCTTTGCTATTGTATGCAGCTTGCCCCATGTCCTCCTCTCTAGCTCCTCCATGTATTTTATGGCCTACCTTTATTTCTATGCCCAGTGGGTGCCAGTGCAAAGACATTCTAGAAATAATGTTCTCAACATGTGCTCTACCCAACACCAGCTTCATCACCTCTTTATTCATCATAATTAGCTTAGTTCTTTCATGAATACACAGGAGGTAAAATATCTGTATCCAAAATACAAGAGTGCACTACAAGAAAACAAATGGAAAAGGAATGAGCATGCTGAGCTAGGAAAAGTGTACAAGCCAATGGGCCACAAAACCAGTAAGATAGTTTGGCATTACAATCATATATACCTCTTTCTCTCCTCCCACCCTTTCCATACACGTGTATGTGTGTGTGTGTGAATGGAAATATAGAGGGATAGAACAATCGTTACTTCACAACATCAGCTCTGTATAACAGAATTGTAGTATAAAATAGGAAAGAATAACTGCTCTATAGAATTGAATAGAACAAGTATCTTCTGCATCTGAGCAGAGAAATTTACATGTTTTGACAATAAACCACCTGGCCAGAAGCCCCATAAAGGTGTACATTTACTCAATAGCCATCTCTGAAAGTATCCCTTCCTCAGCTGATGGATATCACAGGAGCTGTAGCCCTTAAATCTCGCCTTACACCTGGTCCTCTTTATAGGGGTTCAGAGGCCACATTAAGAAAGGGGGAGGGCCTTGAAAGCCAAAATGCATCTGCCTAGGAACCAACAGTCTGCACACAAATAAGCAAGATCTGTAAATAGATGTGCCTGTAAAACTCAAGTTCTGGAACAAGTCAAAAGACCAGTAGTGGACACATCTACCAGAACTTTCTGCCAGAATTTACCACTGGTTTGAGGTTTTGAACAACGGATCAACATCATAGCACACAGGTAGTAACCCATAAGTGCTCCGTTCTTCTTCGAACTCAAGTCTGAGTTGGAAGAAGCTCAGCACAGTGCACAGGCTCCGTAGCACCGGCGAGGATCCTGAAATACTTTGGGTAGATTTTCAACTTCAAATTTTGCCTCGGCAGTGATGTTAGGCTACTCTTTTCGATTCCTAACCCAAGAGATTTTTTATGTAGGCAACAATGCACACGGGCGTCCGACCTCACTACCCAGAGACCAGGGGAAATTACTAGAAGTCCGTCCACTTGAAAAAATCCCAGCCCTTACCGGGGATTGAACCCGGAACTTCTAACACTCAAGGCTGACACCATGCCTCAAGACCACGCAGCCTCTATACCACTGGTTAAATGCTAAGAAGAAGAAGTCTGGTCTGAAGTACATGAGGACAAAACGAATTTGGCAGCATCGCTGAGGGTACAGAACAAATGGATACAATAAAAATATAACAAGGATTTTAAAAATTGTGGGTGAAAATACCAAAGAGGCATCTAAATACCTCCATCATCACCATATTGTTCTAAACACATCACACAATGAATTCCTCCATCTATCTTTCTATCTTTTCTCTCCTGTGCACTTTTTCCAACTTCTTTTATGGAACCTAGTCATCTCTCTCACCAACGTTCATCATGGGCGTTCTAATAAACACGATCACATTCTGAATTCATTTGTTTCTCATTTCAGTGTCTGATTTGTGATCCTTTAAATACCTCCAGCACAAAACAAAAATAAATAAAAAAGTTGTGTATTTCAAACAACAAACATTGGATGGAAATAAGAGAAATTATCAATTTTTCATTGCAAATCACACTGGAAAAATGTGAAACATGAAATATCAAACACATATTCAGATAGCCAAAACCTCTAGAAAAACAACATATTTATAATGTTGTTAACACAAACGAGCCTGTATACTACATTTTACACTTGTTTCTTGCTTGGGACATCCCTTTTGCTGGAACCTCTTCACTGATTGGATTTCTTCTTCAAAGCAGCAATTGTTGCACCCACAATCCCTCCAAGTGCTAAAGCAGCTCCACCAACAATAGCAATGCCTATCAAGCCATCTAGGAAATCAAGAAAAGGAATAAATATTAAGAAACTAAAACATCTTTTTATTGATTTGACCAGTCAATTCATTCAGTCAGTCCTGTCTCTTTTACCCTGGTCTTAATAAACGATTCTCTTCTAATACATGAATATAGCAGTAACTGCAGTCAAGCTGGTATCAAAAGACAAATTCACTAAACACAAACAAAAAACACTGAGTGTAGAATTAAAATGGAATACATTCCCCTGAGTCACACAAAAACAACAAGTTTGGGTGACTCTTGCTATGACACTGCGACCTCTATCACAGACATTGTGGCAAAAATCTGGCATCAACAGAGCTGTAAAAAGCTTTATGGTTTACAAGGAAACCCCCTAAATGCTATATTTAGGTAATGTATCCATATCCTGACCTCCTAAACGAATGAACAAACTTCATTTTAAAAGGGTTACAAATTGGGCACATAGACCCGTCTGACATTCGGCCCTTCTAAGCACACATCTTTCAGAGTATCAGTGCCTGTTATCAATAATGCATGTTATAGGTATAATATAAGTTCAATGAAAGGGCGCAGATAAAGACTTTGGTTTTTTTTTTTCTTCAGTCGTCGTCTCACTGATTCCAGGTTGTAGCCCAGTGTCATGGTTTTCTGTATTTATCTTGCGCTTCTTGGGTGATTGATTTGTAAATCTTTTTTGCAGGTTTTCATCTACACCATTTGTCAATATTTTGTGTGTCAAACAAGCAACTGTTTCTGTGAATGTCCCCCCCCCCCCCCCCCTCACACACACACACTTCGTTGAGCTAACAGTCTTAGCGGATATTCCGTAAATTTATTTCATTTCTCTCCTATTCTGGCCAGTAAAAATACTCCATAGTCTGAGTTAATCATTTCTCTCCTATTCTGAGGTTTAGACCCTCGTGGTCTTAACCGTTTCTTTTCTGGCTTTAGGTGCAGAAGTCCCACATAATCTTAATTAATCTGTTCTCTTCTCTCCTTGGATTCTGAAATAACTCTGGGTTTTAGCTCTCTCTCTCTCCCCATCCCCACCCCCCCCCCCATACCCCCCCCCCCCCCCCATATGCACAGAGTTTAATAAAAAATCATTTTCCACAGGTCACTAATAAATTAATATTTGGTCATGCCTTCTCGTTCAAATGCAGCAAAGATCAACGATGCTTGTGATGAGGTGCTGTGCATGGTCTCCACGATTACACATGGCACAAGCACAACACCTCAGAAGATCAGCTACAAAAGCAAGAGAAGGAGGAAGCCGCAGATGTTGTTTTATGTCGCGCGAAATATGGATCGAATATGTCGCAATATAGAATTGAGAATAAAGACACTCTATGCCTTCACAGCATGACAATAGCCAGTTTGGCAGCCTAGACGTTAAAGCAGTGCAGTTTGTCGTGCACTGGATCCCAAATTTTTTCTTCCCACGATGCTTAACGGCAGAAGTGGTTTATGACGATAATGATGATGATGATGACTAATAAATTTGTCTGTGTATATTACAAACTGAAAAAAATATATATAAATACTCAGATATATGAAGGGGTCTTCTAAAAGTACTGGAAAGTTTTGGGAAATGCAATTCTGGATTCAAGACTCAACGAAGGGAAAACCCCAACTGCACCTCCACGTGGTAGAGGATGGTAAACACACTGCAGTGTGGCAAACACAGCTATGGGAATCAAGTATCCACCGGGCTAAGTGGACAGGGCTGGGTCCTCTGCTGTTAGCAGAAGCATCACAGAGCAGGGCACTCACTCGCCCTGGCAATCTAAAAGGTTGCTGAAGGCTCAGGAAATAGTCTAAAGTCATGTGGGTGTGGAATGCAAGGGGAAACTACCACATTATTATCCCAAGAAACATTCTGTAAGTATAAGTGACTCCTTGAATACAAAAGTACATGAAGCAAGAGAGCTGGCGAAAGACCGAGTTTCTTTCAGGCAGACCATGATGAGAGCGACGTTCTGCAAAGGACCTGATACATGATGATGTGAAGGGAGTAGTGAGTACAAACAGTGAAGTATTACATGAAATACATTCCCCAGGTCCTTAAATAAATAACATGTAACAGGTGATACATGCCATGAATTCTATCATGGTGGAAAGTTGGAGGAAAAAAGAGGCAGAGGCCGAGAAAGAAGATGCTGGACAGCATGACATTACGACATGGAAAATTATCTGTATAAAAAATGACTGTAAGTGAGACAGAAGGCTGTGGATAGACATGACTACCAACACCACATGGCATGGACCATAAAAAGAAAGAGAAGCTTTTAGCAATACTGAATCCAAACAAATATTTACATGCATTTGTATTACTAATGCTTAGTCTATTAGTCACGTCCACATACCTTTCTTCATTCTAGCTTTGATATACCTTTCCAACTGTCGAGCCTGTCTGTTATTGTGCTCAATTTTACAGATAGCATCTGTGTACTTCAGTGCCTTTTCATACTCCTAATGAATAAAAAAAATTTTATAAAAGGAAAACAACTACAGTGTGGATATCTGCATTATCTCCTTCTTCTTCTTCTTCTTGTTCACTGGCTGTAAACTTCTGGGTATCCATCAACCTCCGGATATTAGTCTTGTTCCAAAACCTGAGTCCTGCATGCACACACATCCCTTTCACACACCTGGCTTATTTGTATGCAGACTCTCAGCTCCTTTGCCGCTCAGGCAGATGCACTTTGACTGCGAAGAATGCCCCCAATTAATCAACTCCTACGTCATGCTTGATGGGGAGGCAGTAGGTCTATTCTTGTCACACACCCCCCCCCCCTCCCCACAATAGGGATCCCGGAACCCACAAGGGAAATCAGCATTACCTATCTGTAGACTCGTATGGAAGTACAAAGCAATTACTGCAGCTGGTATTCCTTTAACTTCTGTCTTGAGCAACTGTTACCTGAGAGCAACAACTGCCTGGAACACAGTGAGTTACAACAGTGGCTCCCAAACTGGCTGGGACCTGTTGGCTGCTCCTGTTTCCTAAGGTCTGTCAATGAACCCACACTTTCTAACTGAGAGGAGATGAATCAACAGTTTTCACACAAAATAACCAAATTTGTGAAATGGATGTGCATGCAATAACCCAAGTCCTGGATAAGATCAAAGTCCAGATACAGACAATCAACCAGATCTCCCTGCCACAGCTCTTGTTATTCTTTGTTCACAGGCTGTCAGCTCCGATGGAAAGTCATGGCTGCTGGTACATTTGGACTTTGGCTTTGTGCCAGGGCCTGAGTTCTGCGTGTGCATCCGTTTTACTGGCTTATTTGTGTGCAGTTGGTTGCTCATTGCCGTTTGGGCAGATGCACTCAGACTTGGAAGGAAGCCCCCGATTAGTCGACTCCTACAACATGCTTGCTGAGGAGGCAGTGGGTATATACTTGTTTTCTCCATAATGTGTCCCCGGAACCTCAAACAGGGAGCCAGCACTCCAATCAATTAATGCAAAAGAAGAAGAATCTGGTATTTCCATTCCATTGATTTTTGTTTTGTTGTCTAGTATGTCCACTCTTATTTACTTATTTCTCTTGTCATCTATCATTGCCAATAAATAGCCATAACTGTTTGTAATTTAATGCAGCGAACTATGGACAGACCAGAACAAGTCATTATCCTCCGCCTCAGAACAGGGCACTACCGATTACGAAACCATGTGTACACAAAATTCAAGTTAGGCGTATCAGCCATGTGCACCTGTGGAAAGGTGCCCCAAACAGCAGAGCATGTACTTCAGGACTGCACCGAATTTAACACATTAAGGCAAACCTTATGGCCAGAAAGAACAACAGTGGAACGTAAACTCTATGGACCACTGAATGAACTAACGACAGTGAAATTTATACAAGAGACAAAATTGCTGATTTAGACAACTTATTTTAGGTGAAGAATAAGAATGCAGCGAACATACTCACTTTGATTCTGACAAAACCAACTGCTATATAGAACAAGTAATCTCGCTGGCTAAGATCATCCTTGGCATGCCTCAGTAAATCTGTGAAATGAGTAGCAAATACAATAAATACTAAAGGCAATGGTGCAATATCAAGACAATAGAAACAGGGACAAATATAAAACAGAATGATGCTAAACATGATAAATAAACTGAAATATTTGGGAGCAATCACAACATCAGCTGGTCACAGTCTCAAGTCTCCTACAGTAGGCAGAGGATAAGACTAAAGTGACACTGGCTACAATCATCCGGCTGATACGCTCCTTCTTCTTCCTAGCGTTCAGACTGTAAACTTCGGCAGGAAATTCTGGTTGTTCATTCATTCCTGCACTTCCTGCTCATCTGATTTACAGATCTGGCTGGTTTGTATCCAGACTGCTGGTTTGCTGTCTCTCAGACTGATGCACTGCACCTGTGAAGGAAACACCCCTAATCCTAATCAGTCACCTCCTGTCACATGCTTGTTAGAGGAAGGGGAGATGTCTATTCTTTGTTCTCCATAAAGCCATGGCAAACCTTCTTTAGGATGCCAAGAACAGTCATGATTTCACAACTACAGAGGCAAGGGAAATGTAAAGAGAAAATTACCTGGATGGTGGTTTAGCCACACAGATGAGGCTAAACAGGAGCACTGACATGATCCATGATTCTGGTGATCGTGTAAGATGCAAAAAACATGACCGCTTATAGGCAGGACACATGAAGATGATGATGATGATAACATCAGATGGAAGGTGAAAAGTCAGAGATTAAGAGCAGGATATAGCACACTAAAGCTGCATTTCAAAAGATAAAAAGTATAATATGTAAAAAAAAAAAAAAAAAATCACTTTAACTGAACGTCAGACTACTGAAACCTAAAGTTAAACTAGTTCTGCTGCATGACAGTAAATCTTGGAAAATAAAGGAGAACTGAAACTTTAAGATGGACAAGTTCTACTGCATGACAGTAAATCTTGGAAAATAAAGAAACAAATTAGGAATATACTGGAGGAGCGAAGACATGGTTTCGAGATGAATGGACGAATGGAAAAATATCATCAAGTGACCTGATCCAGAACACCAAGGGTCAAGATCTGTGAGGAGACGTGAATGCTTATGTCATCTGGCAAGGCACAAGATGATGATGACCCCCCACCCCTAAGGGGCCGCATTAGGCCCAAGAGGAAAGATTAACTGACTAACTAAGACTCAATGGACAAGCCACACAGAGGTTACAGAATCAAGATAAGATATTACAGACACTAGATAGTCACAGCAATTATTCTTTAGGTATGTAACTCATTTCACTCCACTTGCATGGGAAAACATAATCTGTTCTGTTTATATTTGCATCAGTTTATGAGAAGTTTATAATTCCATATTTTAGTTCAGTTATATATTTACTTTTCAAATCATCATAACATCTGTAGGTACTGCCTTAAGGGGAACAGGAAGAGGGAAGGGAGAAAAGGAAGAGGGAAATGTTATCCAGAAACATGTTTTCTTTAAACATTTTTTTTCTAAAAGAACAAAATTCAAATTGCAAAAATCATTCCTTATTACAACTCCATAAGGTTCTTGTTGAACTGATCTGTAGCTTCATGGATACATGATATATAAAGAATAGCTCATAAAAAAACATCAGAGGCAAGGCGGACATTTAATCAAACTTCTACTTGTGCCACTTGTACTTGAACTCTGTGCTGGCTGCTGAAGATGGAGACAGAGTGCTTATGAGAATGTCCCAGGTGCAGTGATGTCGGCTACTTATTCAACTCTTCTTCTTCTTTTTTTTGCCTCACTGATACCAGATTGTACCCATGTGTCGTGATTTTCTGTATCTGTCTTGTCCTTCTCAGGTGGTGGATTTTATTAATCTTTTTGCAGGTTTCAGCTGCATTATTTATCCATCTCTTTCTTGGTCTTTCCCTCACCTCCCTCCCTGATGTTCTGCTGTAAGAAATCTCGGTAAAACTAATGTTGGTCTCCCCATGGACCGCCCATATACATACTAGCTCACTTCTGATTGGTAGTTTCTAAACCTGTCACCTTGGTACAAGGTTACGGGGTGTTCTGCAATGCTGCTGATACCATGTGTTGTATATTTCAGCAGGCCACCCATTTTACCACTCCAAAAACAAGGACAAACTGGGTCTAAGACAATCCCCTTAGAGAGTGCTGCAACCTATGTCACAGGCATTATCTTTTTCTGAATAAAAACGTAAATGCAAGACAACACAGAAAGCAAACACCAGAGCGACACACCCGTAACCTGCACGAAAGTAGACCAGCCCAACAAACTTGTAAATGAAATGTGACCTACTTTGTTTGGGGAGACTAACTTAAAATTAACCAAAATCTCATATGCAGTTTGGTCTAGTATTAATTCTCACTACGTGGTTAAACCAATTCACTCTTTGTCTGTCAAATAATTCAGACACTGTCTTATTCCAACTTTCTCTCTAATGCTAGTATGCATAACCTTTCCATTCTTGTGTTGTTAGTGACCTTAAGGAGACAGTGCAAAATACGAGATGTTAATTTCTGTTTTAGTGCTCTGTTTATTGTCGATGTCTGGTACAGACAGTATAAAGTAGGGATGAAGGTGCTATTAATCATTTGCTGTTTTGCTAGAAGATATTTGGGTGTCTAAGCAGTGGGGCTAACTGGAAGGTGACAGCATTTGCCTTATGTACTCTAGCACCGATCTCTCTATTATTAAACCACAAATGAACAATTGTTTCTGTAATGAGCCTGACTCACCTTCAATGAGTGCAATACCTCTGTGGATATCAGAGGTGTACCTGCTTCTCACCAGACACCAGGCATAATCAAACTGTGTTTTCTCACTAACGTGTCCTCTTATAACCTGTGTATTGTACAAGGCTTCAAACTTCTGGAGAAACAAAATGAAATAAACACAAAATTAAAATTCACTGCAACAACGCTGCTGCTGCTAGTACTTTGCTCCCGTTTCCAGTTTGTAATTAAAGAACAAAAGACCTTTACATGTCACTTGCATATTAGGCACACACATAGTTGCTTAGAACCAGCAGCGATGAATTCTGTTCATCAACAAATAAAACAAATGAGGTGCTAATTCATTTCTTGATATCAGCTCATCACTCTTTTTCAAAGTTTTAATTGAAAAAAAAAAATTCATTCATTCTGGAGCCCTTCTTGGGTCTGTGAGAAAACCGTAGTCTCCTCAGCAGCATTAGATCTCTGATACAGTGGGCTCCAGGGCCCTATTGTGGGGAAAACAAGAATAGGCCCACTGCCTCCACAACAAGTATGTTGTTAGAGTCAATTAATTGAGTGCTTCCTTCGAGTACATCTGCCTGAGAGGCAAGGAACCAACAGTGTACATACAATTAAGTCAGAGCTGTTAAACAAATGTGCACACAACACTCAGGTTCTGGAACAAGACTAGTCTAGAGGTAGACAAACAACCAGAAACTTTTGCCAGGGTTTACAGCTGGTGAGCATGAAGAAGAAGAAGGTCTCTTATACCAATTTCCATGATCCCAGTCCTTATTCTGGAAGTCGCTGTGGCCTAGCAGATAGACGCTCACCTGCGGATCGGACAGTCGTGGGTCTGCGCCCTGGCAGAGCCGGACTTTTTTAACAAAATGACCTTGGCTCCCAGGTCAACCCAGCCTTGAGTGGATACCGGGTGCAGTTCTGGGAAGTAAAGGCGGCCGGCGTGATGCTGACCACATCACCCATCTTGTGTCGTTTTTCTATTAAATATAGGTCTAACTGTGTTTACCCAATACACCTGAAAGGAGTGGAAAAAGGTCCTTTACTTACAGTCCTTATTCTGCGACTCCTTCTTTATACACCTTCGAACCTCAACATAAATATATTTAAACAAAGCAGCAGTTCACTTGAGATAGCTGATTTCTGCAAAGTTTGTCCTCGAATGGAGCAGGTGTGGGCAAAATAATTTTAAGTGTACAGTGTATGCTAAGGACCCTGAAGCAAATGATTAGCCATCATTGTACAAATTCTAAAGTTACACTCACAAGTATCTTATATCTTTAGCTTACTGAATAAGCATATTTCCATTATGTCTTGTATGGTCGGCGTCTGTAGCTTAGGCGCTGAGAACGCGCTTTATAATGCCAGGGTGTTGGGTTCGATCCCAGCTGTGGACAATTTGTTTTGCATTGGTTGTGACAATGGTAGAGAGCTGACTGTTGAGGAAGCAATGGCAATCTACTGAATGCAACAAAACACACGATAATAGCAACATGGCAGGGAGACCACGAGCTCCGACGCAGGTTAGCTATAGTGTTCTTCCGATAAAACTCACCGCCAAGCGTATCCCCCCATTCAGCTACGCGCAGCGCGGATGGGGGGCTAAATTAGATGACTGGGACTCATGAGCAGCAGCTACCGTATCTCCTGCAACTTCCTCCAATTTATTTGCTCGTGAGTCCCAGCCATCTAGTTTAGTCCCCCGTCAGAGCAGATTTTGGGGCACTATTTGCAATTTCTGTGCCACTATTTTTAGATACGGGCGCTAAGTTTATTGCTAAGTAGTCAATTTTGTCATTTTCCCATTATTTTCGAGTTCAAGTTTGTGAATGTTTACAACACACGACCTAATGAGGCCCTGTCAGGGTGTGTTTTTGGCCGCCATAATATGTGGCCGTTATTCGGAGGATAGCCCTAGCTTGTGTGAAGTCTGAGATACCCAGCCAGTTTGGTTCAGGTCTAGGAGAGCCCTTTTCCCATGATGAACGATGAGAACACACAACAGGTGTTTTGCGCTGGTTTTTGTGACACCGATGAACAGCCTATTGGCACCTGAAGTAAGGTACAGGAAATCCCTTTACACACATCACAATGGCTTTACCTCTATTCCACGCCTATGCTAAAAGCCACCATTAACCCCCCCCCCCCCCCCTCTCTCCAAATTTTGTATAGTATAATTTTCATACCAATGTCTTAACCGTTTCTAAAATTATCTCAATGTAACTGTAGTTGACTAATTAGGAACTACCGTTGAAGTCAGAGTACATCTGCATGAAGATCAAGGAACCAACAGTCTGCATGCAAATGAGTCTATGAAACTGATGTGCACACAACACTCAATTTCTGGAACAAGGTTTAGAGTGGACGAACAACCAGAACTTCCTGCTAGAGTTTGCAGCCGGTGAACGTGAAGAAGAAGAAGAATGTAACTGTCTATACATGTCTGACCATTTGATATGGTCAGGTTATTAAGCTATTAAAAAAAAAAAACTGGTTTTAATTTATATATAAATAAAACCCAGACAATATTTCATAGATAAAAACTATTTACTACTTTTAGAACTTAGTTTCACCTTCTTTTTAGAGTTCACCAGTTGTAAACTCAGGCGGATGGACCCGGAAAGGGGGGGGGGGGGTTGTGAGGGAAGAAGGAGGGAGAAAAGGGGGCTCTCCTCCGAACTTCTACCCCCTCATTATGGCGGCCATAAAATAGCGGCGTAGAGGCGCGGGGGATACTGTCGGCGGTGAGTGTAACCGCGTTTTGCGCATGCCACAAGTTTGAGGACAACAACGACGCTAATCTGCGTCGGCGCACGTGGCTCCCTGCCATGTGGCTTTTATAGTCAGTAATGTTGCGTGTCTCGAAATTGTCCATGGTCGCTAGTATCGTCTGCAGAAATGCTTGAAAGTGTCATTGGTCGCTATTATCATCTGCTACTATCGTCGGCAGTGTTGCGTCTCTTGAAATTGTCAGGTAATCCTAGTTTTGCCGCGATTCGCTCGTCGCAGAAAGTTCGCATATTTTTAATAGAACTGAGCCCTGTATGGATATTTTATGGCCGCGCTAATGCCGGGGTAAACGTTCGGAGGAGAGCCGAAAAGGGCTTCTCCTGTGTGTTCCTCCACTTCTGGACTGTAGTCTTGTTATAAAACTTGAGTTTTGCGTACACATCCGTTTTACAGATCCGACTTATGTGATGAATGCAGACAGCTGGTTCCTTGCCTCTCAGGAAGTCGGAGTACATCTGCCGGAGAGGCGGGGAATGAGTACTGCAAACAAATAAGCCAGTAAAACGGATGTACACGCAAAACTCAGGTCAAGGTAAAAGCTAAAAGCCCATTTTGGACGAACAACCGTGACTTACCGCCGGAATTCACAGCCGGTGAACAAGAAGAAGAAGAAGAAGATGCAGTGCATGCACCCTGACTTCGAAGGAAACGCAAATAATTATTTAAAATCAGTACCCGTTAGTAGGCGACAATGACAATGTCAATACTGACATGCTCTAGTCTTTATTATAATATTAGGCTTGCAGTGGATCTATTTATTCTTTAACCCCGCCCCCACGGGGAGCTTAGTATATCTAAGTATTCTTTAGTTTGATTTATCATGTTTGGACTATCGTTTTTTTTTTTTTTTTATTTCATTTTCACCCACTCAACTCACCATTCTACTAAGACTCGCGGCACTTGTGACTTGGCAGTCATGATTCAGTTTTGCTTAACTTAACAGTAACTTGACTTAAGGCACTTAAGCGATCTACCTATTTTGTGAGGCAAAAGGTACATTTAAATACATTTTTACAAATATATCCTTTTTATTTATTATTCATATCTGTAATATAACAGTTACTCAGAGCGACCAAACAGTTTTTGTAAACAGAAAGACTACCTTCAAATCATTCGGGTCTATGTGTTCTTCGACTATGGCCTCCATCTTTGTTGATCTCATCCGAGTTATTTATAGAGATGTGAACGTAACGAAAGCGAATAGGATTGTTTTGTTAAATTACTTTCATGCTTTGTTTTTTAAAAACCTTTGTGTTTTACACTTTCTTCTTCTTCTTCTTCTTCTTCGTCTTCTTTACCAGCCATAGTGACTCCATCGACGTGTTGAAAGGAGATGAACTTACACCACTTACATCTTCTGTTTACGCTTTCCAATGCACTGATTAAGTTGGTCTTCATTTTCTTCGTTCCACGTCAGCCTGGTCTTCCTCTAGTTCTGTGTTTATTACATTTCGTCAAGGTGGCATTACCAATGCATTCTTTTCAGATGGCCAAACCTTCCTGTCTGCTTTTTTTTTTTTTAAATAAACTGTATGGCCACTTTCACATTGCAGTTGGGAAAACAGTGTTTAGTGCTTTACAGAAACGAAGTAAATCATCATCTTCATAAACCTGCCGTTAAGCGGCGTGCGGAGGAAACATTTTCGATTCAGTGCACGCTGGCTACCATTTGTCTATTGTCATGGCGTGAAGGCGTAGAGTGTCTTTCATGTTGTCGATCCATTTTTCCAAGGCCGTCCTCTTGCTCTTGTAGCTGATCTTAGGGCCTTGACCACATCTGCCTTGTCATGTATCAATTCACCACCCAGTTGTGCAGATCCAGCTAGTCTGTCTGACTGTTTATTGCCCACTACGCCGGCATAGCCTGGAGAACAAATCCAAAGTATGCTCACTACCCGTGACCTTCCCAGTGAAGTTTGCCACTCTGCTCGAAGCATCCTTGTTTTCACCTTTCTCAGCAGGCCTTCAGAGTCTGTTACGTTAGGTAGTACTCGTACTCATATTTTTAATTCTATCAGTTGCATTGTCAAACTTTGTTGTGTATTTAGTACTTGTTGGTTACTACTGACGGTCCGTCTTTGAACTAACCCTCCCCCCCCCCTGTCACTGATATGCAGCTTCTGATGTACTAACCCCCCCCCCCACACACACATTTGCAGTTTCCTGTCACTGACACACTAACCCCCCCCCCCCCCTCAACCCCTTTTCCCTCTATCTAATTATGCGGACAAAACTGTTCCCTGACAAATTTTAGTTTTGTCTATCGAAGATATTAGTAACTTGCTTCTTAGAAATTGGATATTGGCTGCCAACAAAGTAAAAGTTCTTTTCCATGTCAGTGGCACTTCATCATCATCATCCGATAAGCGGCATGGGGAGAAATAGTTTGCGATCCAATGCACGCTGGCTGACAGTGGCTATTAACATGCAGTAAAGGCATAAGATGTCTTTAATGTTGTCGATCCACTTTTCGTGGTCGTCCTCTTGATCTTGTAGATGATCTTCTGAAATCGAATGTCAGTGATAATATTTGATGCTGCATTGTAATGAGATGACCAAACCACTCGATCTGCTGTTTCTCAATGAATCTACTACAATGCGTCGTTCTCACAGTCTGTCTAATAGTATCATTATTCATTCGATCTCGGATAGTTATGTAAGCGGCTTTTCTGAGGTATCTCATCTTGCAAGTGGTTCTTGGGCTTTAGATAAGGTTACGTTATGTTATGTTATTACAGTCGACGTCTTTTCACGTTGGGCATCCCCGTGCGTGCTCAGTCCTCCGATGCAGCAGCCACTCCAAAGCACTTCTACTTCCTATGAGGAGTTGGTTTTAGTATCTCCTGTTGTCTCTTGATTTAGTTGAATATTGGTTTCGTCCCAACTTCTTTCCTGATATCGTCGTGTGGTAGATAATGTCTATGTTTGGTACTGGTAGCACAATACTGGAATGAATATGATGATAGTCAAAATTGGTGCGGACAATAAATGCAAGGAACTGCTATTTGAAGCCCTCATGACCAGTGTTGGATTCAGCTATATAAAGCCCCGAGGCCCCTACCGTTTTAAATTACACATGCTAATGTCAATTTAAAAAAATCAGGTGAAAGTTAATGCATATCAGGTGGATTGTTTTATTCAGTTTAAAAAGTCTACAAGCTAGAATAAATACAAGATTGAGATAATTTAATAAGAAGGAGACGAACACTGTTTTTCGGCCATGTAATGAGAAGAGGGGCACTGGAAAACATCGTGACAACTGGAAAGATCAGTGGGAAAAGGGGCAGAGGCAGACCAACAGAGATGATGCAAGGAGAAACGATGGCATGGAGGGATATCATCAAGAGACCTGTTCCAGACAACCAGGGATTGTAATCTGTGGATATGCATGAACTCCTAAGCCTGTCGGCAGGGCACGTGATGATGATGAATACTGTGAAAATTTTACAATTTCGGGGCATTATTTTCTCCAAATATGTTTAAATAGTCGGCTCTTGCGAACGGCAAGTAATGCCGTGAAATCCCAGCCAAGGTCTTGCGTGTTTCGGCCAAAAGGCGCAGAGGCATGGCAAAATGTCGCAAGCCAGGGCTGTTGGGGTTGGTGTAAACTAGCAGGATGTGTCGACCAAAAGGCGCAAATATCGCAACTATTGTGTAAACTAGCACAGAGTAGTGACGTCACTGTGATGATCGAAAAGATTTGACAAGAAATTGGGTCACATGACAGTCCAACATTTTAGAGTGTGTTAGGACTGGGTTTCCCGGCTTTCTGATGCTTTTGACGACCCGAAAACATCTAGAACTAGCCCTAACCTCAACCCACCTACGTCCCACGAGAGAGTGCAGCCTAGGTCCCACGAGTGAATGCAGCCTAGGTCCCGCGACTGCATGCAGCCCATCGCCCACTCCCTGAAATATTAGACTATCCCGTGACCTGTAGGATATTAAGAAAGCATCAGAAATTGCATCTGTGGCAAAACAGGAATTATTTGAGCTCCCGCAGATTACGAGGAGCTATGTTGTAGATTAGTTAGCTTATACCCGAACCCATGAACCATGTGCCGTGTTGTGTGGAATGGGAAAACATCAGGAAGGGAATGCTAATGAAGGAAAAAATTATTGCAGAAATGGATTAGAGCTAAGGGTCTGAAAAGAAACAGACTAAACACAAATGTTTACAACGGTCCTGAAATCCCATGTTATAATTGTGGAAGACTTTTCTTAACACAGGAGGGTCTTGCTAGACACTCGCCATCGCCATGGGCTGTGAGTCCCCTGCCTCCTCATAGCGCAGTATAATATTACCATCTGGAAAGACGGGCAGGTGTCACTTAATCTGATCCGAATTTTTCATGGCAACTACAGAGAAAGAGCTGCAGAGATAGCTGGATAATTTCAACGCAGTAGCAAAAGCAAACAGCATGAAAGGTTTGAACAATGGATCTACATTATGGCACACGGGTTGTAACCCATTAGTGCTCCGCTCTTCTTCTAACTCAAGTCTGAGTGTCAGAAGAAGCTCAGCACAGCGCACAGGCTCCGTAGCACCTGCGAGGATCATGAAATGCCTTGGGTAGATTTTCAACTCCAAATTTTCCGGGCAGCGCTGTTAGGCTGCTCTTTTCGATTTCCAACTGCTAAGGGATTTTTTACGGGCTCAAAAAAATGCACACAGGCGTCTGATCTCACTACCAACAGACCAGGGGGAATGACTAAAAGTCCAGGTCCATGTGTTAAAATCCCAGCCCTTACCGGGGATTGAACCATGGTTAAAACCACCCTCACCGGGGATGCGGAACCCCTAGCACTCGAGACCACACCAGCCCCCCCCCAGCCCCCCTCCCCCCAGCATGAAAATTAACACTGTTTGGGGGAGGGGCAGAAGTTATGATACTTACCAAAACAGAACAACAAATCAGGTTATGCATAGAAGACCAACAACTCAAGCAAGCAAAATAGTTCAAGTATCGATGGAGCATAATTACATTCCTCGGAAACAGCAGTAGAACACCGATGTGATAAAGCAAATAAAATCATTGGACCCCCACTGGCTGCTAAAAATGGAGAAGGAGTTCCTTTAGGAATGTCCGGAACTGTGTAGTGTCGATTCTCAATTTAGGTCTTTACTATTTTAACTTTCTAAAATGTATTGATAGTACATCGTTTACTGCACATACACACACACAAACAAGGGAAGTGGGGGGGGGGGGGGGGGGTGAGAGTCTCTTTAAGCCTGAGGATCTAAAGCCGCATGGCTAGGGCTCTCGCCATGGACTGTGCAGGTTACGATTTTATTTGTGCCGCAGACAGAGCGCCCGGCTTACATTTTTCAAAAAACGTACCAACTGATATTCTGGCTTACCTTGTTTGGGCTACTCATATCATTACCATACCATTTTCTTAATCTATTTTAAAACTGTGACTGTTTTTAAAAAGGTCCATATTGATGACTAAAAATGTTTGAAGACGAAGAAGAAGACATCTGACTAACCCCAAAAAAAAAAAAAAATTTGCCCCAGGTGAGGATCGAACTCACGACCTTCAGATGGCTCTTGTTTTGTGATTATGAGACTGACGCGCTACCTACTGCGCTACCGAGGCCCTGGTGAAGACGTCTAGTTAAAATTAATTGTGCAAAATCAATGAAAAAAATAATTACAACATATGATAATATTTGAATAATGTTAGTGAATTAAATTAATAATGTATTTTTATGTTTTAAAGAAAAAGCGCTGCTTCACGTAAATAGATGTTTTTAGAATGTAATATTACATAGAAAATGTACCGATAATATAGAAACGATAAATACTAATAGATAGAAGTTCTATTAGAACGATGAAAACTGTCGTGGAAACTATCAGTAAATGACTGATTTCATTCCCACCCACACCGCTTTGCTTGCTACATGAAGGTTTCCTCTTCGTCGTCGTCACTGGTTATAAACACCGGCTTAAAGTTCTGCCTGTTCGTCCACTTTGTGTGCACATCGCCTTATTCCGATTCCTTTTGAGAAAAAACTTAAAAGGTAGACCACTTTCAGACTGCTGCTAGCTAGCCGAGGCTGCTAACAGTCTCCTGCCTATATTTGCATCTGGTTTATTTACGTCACTTTCGTACATCGCCTTTTACAGATCTGGCTTATTTGTA